AACTAAATAGTAATTAACTAAATAAATTATACTAAACTGAAATAATAGCTTAAATTTCAAAAGAAAAACAAGAAATTTGTTGTGAAATCCGGAATATTCTACGCTGTGACTATTCCTTAATAAATTGCTGGATAAAGCAAATCATAAAGATTACTTGAACAAAAAAAGGAAACCCTAATATTACCCGTATGACTTGAGTAATTTGTTGTCCTTGGTGTACCAGTAGCATGAACATAAAAACAGCAGCAATTATCCGTGTGTGAACCTTCATGGTTTACGTACCTGTTGTGTCAACCTCACAAATTCAACTCTGTCGCGTCTTAAACCCTTTATATAACTCTCTTACKAAGTTGGAAGTCAATTTGTATGATGAACATGACGTCTTATTTGAAACGTCTTTCACAGTGTGAAATTAAGCTACCGGTTGCTTGTCAAGATGCGCTAACTTCACCTTTTTGCGGCGTAAATTAGGCACCCACTGAGTATAATGTTTTCTCCAGATGCGGAGAAAACAACTCCAACCTCACTAGCTCTAAAAGAACTCTTGCTACGTTTCTTCTATATACACTTTAAGACTTCAAAACTCTTTTGTAAAACAAATAATGAGGTCTTATTCAGATCTTGACCTGGTGGCACACACGGTACACGGTGTAAAGAGTATAGCTATGTAGCTGGTGGAATATCCAAAACCGTTCCATGGCTGGAGCCGAAAACATTCAATAAACAGTACTTTGCTCTTTACACGTCTTTAACTATGTGTGTGTTTGTCTTTGGTTCTAATGCAAGTGTAAAAAAATAAAGAAATAAAGAAAAGATCGCAATTATTGTTTGCAATTAGCACTAAACCAGCTGTTTATATATATTTTATTATCATTTAAAAGATAAGGCAAGGTAAAAAAAAAAAAAAAATTCATGTAATAATGGTTTTAAAAAAAAGTTATTACATGGCGTTCGGTCTAATATAAGCGATGGGTCTAAAATTCCATACTTTTTGGTATTTGTTGAACATTTTTTTTGAAGTTCAACCAAAATGTTTGTGGTGATCCCGCGCACTTTTAAAATGTATATTTGTAGATGCGCATTGATGAAAACGCGGGCGATTGGTCCAATAAACCAGCTGATTTCATTTTTCTATATATCTTTTGGTTTTCATTTCTTCTCACTTTTTTCTGTACCACATCTTAATTCTCAGTATAAAGTACGATTCATAGATATTCAAGATGAATTTATGCGTAAACGAACTGGTTGTGTTTTTTCAGAGTGGACTTTGTTATTATTGAAACCTAAAGAAAGGCAGACATAACGATGTAACACCTGATGTTGCATGAACAGGAAACTGAAAAGCTCCCGTAACTGCATGGATCAAAGCCGTGTCTTGTCGATCCTTGGTATAAGTGAGCAAGCAGGATAAAACGAGCAAAATGACAATGAATGAAAAGCCAATTCAGTGTTATAGTGTGAAATGGAATGTGCATTAATGCAAGGACTGACCATGCTATACAATGCATGTTTAATTTGTTATGTTTCAATAATATAATATGACCAATTTTGTTATACATATATCGGCCATGTAGTGTGGGCTATAGCATCCTGGTTCTTTTGGCTCCACTGTTCTTTAACCACTTCTTTTAATCCTCTTTGATGACAGGTATATCAAGACCATTCCAGACGTCTGGTGTTTTGACTTCCATAAACGACGCAAAAAATATCATAATGTTCTTGATGAGATTTSACTTTTAAAGGTCTTTAGTAGACTATAATGTACATGCAACAGGTCGGCGAAAATATTGACCCATGTTAATGACTGAATATGGCTCGTTATCACTCATTATATGATGCAACGGTAAGTGAATATACATATATAAAATATTTGAAATATAACGCACAGAGACGTCCTCGCATAAGATCATTCAAACATATTTTGTAAAATCAAGATATATATGCTAGTGTTGTATACTTATTTTATTTAAAGAGTGTGCTCGTTGTTTGTACATGAAATGGATTAATGCCTCATATATAACAGTCATTATATAAATACTCTGAACACACCCCTGCATTTAAAAGACGTAGCGCGTTCGCCTTTTCGTCTACACTATACATGCCTTGCACCACACGCCTGTGGCATCCCGGAGTGCCCAGTATGGGACCATTTTAAAAAGGCATGCGATCTACGCGGGTTCAAAAGAACAGGCTTTCTAGAATGCTTATAAACAAGTCGTGCGAAAAATTGTTTGCAGCTAACGCTTCGGACTGCAAGACTCTCTCTCAGCACTCATTTTCATGAAGTTAAAGTCTGTTGATTAATGTATGAGAACAATCGATCGTGGTGCATGGTTTTGTGTAAACCTTGACTTGACACGAAAAGAAAGACTCTTATAATTCAAATAACAAAATTGTCGAAGCTTATAAATTCAGATT